TATATAATTTTTTTTTATTTTTTTTAGGGGAACTTCCTATATATTTATTCTTTCCATATTTTTCTTTAACTATTAATTTGCTGTCATCTTTCACGATCTTTTTTCTTTTTATTATTTCACCACATCATCCTCTGTCGTAATAAAAATGATAAGCTAATTAGCGACTATACCGCATCACTGAGTACTAAAAATATAGGTTAAAGAAAGTCGATAAAATTCAAATATTGTTGTTGACCCAGGAAAAAAGAAACAGTAAAAAATAAACATCAATCTATTTTTTATATTCATTATTTAAAGAAAGTAGATATATTAGTGAAAAATATGGAATTTATGTCAACGTATTTTTGTCGGACATATAAATACTTAACGTAAAAAATACATGGTGACATTTTTTAAATTAAACTAAATTTTTTTACATTAGACCACATGGTGTTCGACATAAAATTTGAAATCGTCGGACTATAGCTAGACTCAACATAGATTTCAAAATATTTGATGTCGGACCTTGTGTGATCTGACGTAAAAAAAACCTTTTTATTCCCCTCTAGTGCGCTTTCGTCTTCTTCATGCACGCGAGGGTTTATACAGTGTACGTTCTTAGGCAATTTTTGATGAAGGGTTTATACACTACCACTGGGCGTTTTCGGTCACAGTGAATGGCAGTGACAGTGGCAGCGACATCCATTCGTGATTCTAGATCTTTTTCATCGATTGGATTGAAGCTTTTGGACATTTTTCTAAGGTTTGGATGATTTGAGGTTAGTGCTTTGTGAAACCATATTTTGAAAGCCTTTCTTTGTGTGTGTTGTTCTGGATTCACATTCTACTATTGGAAATGCATTTTGAAAGCCTTTCTTTGTGAAACCATTAGTTTGTACATATATACATTATATAAGAAACATTTTTGCGGACTCATTCCCAAATATGAAATTCCCCCACATGTTCAACACAAGTAAATATAATGATGCAATAACTAAGTCTTTAACATAAGAAAATGAGATTGTAAGTTGAAGGAAGTATTCACCTTTGAAGCAATTCTTTATTGTCCGATCCCCCAAACTTCTGCAGCCTGCTTCCCACAGACTCTTCAAATACATTTCGCACCTTAGGAATGCTCAATCCACCATGGATAATTTGAAGTCTAATGGCCATAAATATATCACTTTCCATAAGGTCATCAATGAACTCCTTTTTACCCTGCAATTTGGACGCAGAAAACTTCCTATATTTCCAAGAAAGATATTGCTTTATGTCCTCATCAGCAGCATAAACACCTGCACAAAATAATGACAAAAATTACTATCACTATTTGGTATATATTTCAAACTAGCAATTCTCTTTTTCTTATGAAAGTCATGGCAAATTAGCACATCAATTAATTACATAAAAAAATAGGTTACAATAAAACCAAACAGACACTTATACTTCATCTAATAAAAAGAAATCAACCTAGATTTTTCTTAATTGAGTTATCTCCTGTAGGTAAAACCAAAGCTACGAAAAAACAATTTATTTTTCATACCAAATGCATAAACATCAAAGCTGATGAATGGAATAAGGCTTTTTTTGCGCAAGCCAACTCCACAGAGTTTGAGAGAAGGGCCTAAGATAGAAGGGAAGGAAACTCCGCTCCGTTTCTCAAGCACGTAAACACCATTGTCCTCCAAATTGAGAGACAAAGATGAGTGAGATGAGATGGAAGAACTCATAATGAGAGATTCTACTCCGAAATTCCTATTCAATTAGAAGAAATAGTGATGAAAATAAGGTTAAGGCATTGCATATTTAAGATCTAGTTGCCTTTGCACATAAGTTTTTTCAGTCGGTGGGGATAGCTGTAACGTCAAACCTTCACGTATTGTTGGGAAATGATGATGTTGGGAAGAGAGAAATGTGTCAAAAGTGAATGAAGATTTTGGTTGTTTGTGAAACAAGAAAAATAAATGAAGCGAGAAAAAATAGGTGGACCCACCACAGAATAACTTTTGAAATATTTCAGAGAAAAGAAAAAGAGAAAAAAATTATGGTCAGCCCATTATATAGATAAATAATATATATATATATATATAAAAGATGAGAAATATGTTTATTTTGAAAATAAATATATTTAAATTAATTTTATTTAATAATTTATATTTTATATTAAATTTGTTGAATTTAAAATTGTTAATATATAGATGAAATTTATAAATTTTAAAAAAAATTTTAAAAAAAATTAATCTTTTATTTTATTAATTTAAATGAATGAATAATTATAAAATTATTTTATATATTGATTAAATTAAGA